AAAGTTATTATCATTTGTCTTGTTGTTTTGAAAAGAGAGATTTTTTGCTATAGGGTGTGTGTGCTCATCACAGACAGAGAGACTGAAAGCAAGAAATCACTCTCCCCCTGCCCCGTCCCCAGGGAGGATGGCCATGCCACAGTCCCTTCTCCTCTGTTCTTCTCTTGAGATCTTTGGCACACTTGCACATGTACCCAGGATGAATTCTAAGACATCAGGTTTGGGACTCGAACTGCAGTCAACTACTTAGGAATCTAGGATGTAACTGTTATGCCATCTGCTTGTCCCTCCAAACCAAAGAATCTCTATCCAAAAGCTTCCTCTCTGTCTCTAGTTTACTTCCTTTACTACCACCATGACGTATTACTGACCCAGTCATCTCTTGCCCCCAAAGCACAAACAAACCACAAATACAGGGGACCAGCAGGTGGTATGGTGGTTAAGGCACTGGACACTTCCTCATGGCTGACCACAGTTGGAGTCCCAGACCTGGTGGCTTAATTTCTCACTTTCTCTCTCTCTGGTCAAATTGAAATAAGTAAATGAATAAATAAATCTAAATAGATAATTGTTTTAAAAAACCCACACATACAAAACACACTACTTCAGAATTTTTTTTTAAGAGACACTTTTGTTTTAGGGCAATCACCAGAGAGACAGAGGCAAAGAGACAGAAAGTGAGAAATCACGTCCCCCCTCCCAGGGGGGTTGGCCATGCTTTGGTTCCTTCTCTTCCATCCTCCTCTTGGGATACTGGGCATGTATGTACATACAACTGGTGTAAGGTTTAAGTCACTGAGTCTGGGACTTGAACAGCAGTCAATTATGTGGGAGTTTAGCAACATAACCTTTACACCATTTGCTGGTTCCCTACTTCAAAATGTTAAAGCCTACTTATTAAATAAAAAAGGATGATACAGCCAGTGTTTTTCCTCAGGTTTCCCTCTGTTGCAAGTGTACATTGCAAACATGAGTATTTGAGAATAGATATAGGAGAGGAAATTCTAGAGTGGATTACTTTGATATTCATAAGTAGTTATCATCATAATCAGTTACATATTAATCAACTAACTAAATGATTCTGTAATGGTTTTCAGTTAATGTTACATGAAAACTGATCATTTAATGATTAAACCAGGCTAGCTGATTGATTAAATAATTCATTAATAAAGAGGCCATCTACATTATTTAAACACTCGATCTAGAAATTACCAACTAATCCAAATACATTTTTATAACACTTTGGCTTAACTTTTAGTAATGTTATTCCACAATACAAATAATGCTGGATTACAGTTTACTGATACTCTATGTTCAAATTAGTCATTATCTTCTGAAATATTTATGTTAAGTAATTCATTAATTATAAAAACTTTATGAATGTGGAGCCAGATTCAAGTCTTAAAATTCAAATCCATAAAATTTCTGGCATTTTAATTTTATATAAAATATTTACAAGAATTTATACATATACATTTTTAACGAATACTTTAGTTTGACAAATTTATTATTTCTTCTATTGCTAGTCTTCATAGACTGTTTATTTTTTCTTTTGTTTTAGATTTTTTTCCTTTGTTTTACATTTTAGATAGGGCATGTGCACTTGCCAGAGAGAGACAGAGAGAAGGAAAGTGAGAAATAACCCCCAAAGGGATGGCCACTCTGCAATTCCTCCTGCTCTGTTCTCTTGAGATTTTGTGCATGCATGCACATGCACCCGGTGTATTTTCCAGCTGCCAGGTCTGGGCTTTGAACTGTACAGTCAATCATGTGGGATCCAGCAGCGTAACTACTATGCCATCTTTTAGCCTCTAGACTTTCCTTTAAAAATATAATTAAGTACATATAATATAAACCTTTCATTCAAATCTTGATGATGTCAGTTAAGTTCACTAAAAATAAAGACTTTGCCACATGTATCCTAAAAAACACAATCAATTGTTACCATTGTTAACATTTCAGCAATCAGTTGAACATGTCTCCAAAAGCATTTTTAATTAGTTAAAATGACACAACAGAGATTTTTAGTTTCCCTGAATTAATAATATAACAACATTAGTACCAAACTACCCCCTTTTCTTTAGTTTTATAATGAGTGTTCCAGTGAAGTTTTACCATTTGTTCCATGAATGGGTTTGAGAATATGAAATAGGTTGCTCTATGAATATTTTGTATTTATATTCATAAATAATAGATTTTTTTCCTTTTGGGTGCTAAAGTGATACTTAATAAGGTATAAAGGAACAAAATAAATATATTTTCATACTTGCCTACAATTTTCTCCCTCTTATTCATCATCCTTCTCTTAATGTGAGAGAGAAGGAAAGGGAGAGGAAAGAGGGAGTGATGAGTTCCTGGTTTTGCTTGTGACCGAGCTTTGGCATGGTGACCCTCTGCTCCAGTATCTCAGTTAACTATTGGGTCACTGGGAAAGTCATGACACATTTTTGCATAGAAAAGCATAGAAAAATATGCCATGACTTTCTGACAACCTAACAGTATTAGAGACCCACACCACCATACTTGCCTGTTCAGCTTCATCTGGGATCAGAACCCGGATCTCTCATGTGGCTCAGCCTCCTACATAGGCCCCTTACCACATGTGCCACCACAGGCTGGGCCATCATCCTTCCTTCAGTAGTCCAAGCACTGGACTTCCACATGGTCAACTGCAGTTTGAGTCCTGGACCCGATAGTTTGCTTTATCACTTCCCCTTTCTGTCCCCCTCTCTCTTACTCTGTCCCTCTATGGTCAATGTTTTTTTAAAAATAAATAAAGTTGGGAACCAGCAGTTAGCGTAATGGCTATGTCGCTGGACTCCCACATAGTCAACCATGGTTCGCGTCCTGGACCCGGTGGCTTAAAACTCACGCCAGGCGTGTGTGCATGCATGTCCAAGATCCCGAGAGGAGAATGGAGGAGAAGGGATTGCGGCATGACCATCCCCCCTGGGGGGGTGATTTCTCGCTTTCTGTCTCTATGTCTCTCTCTGTCTGTCTGGCGAGTGCACACACCCTATAGCAAAAACCTCTCCAAAATAAATAAATAAATAAATAAAGTTAACTAAAATAATTCTTTAAAAAAAGAGAAAAAAATGTGAACAAAGAGAAAAAAAAACAAAAACAAAAAAAAACAGATTTTATTAAATCCTGTCAAGTTGCTTCCACTAGAATTTTGTATGTTGTATATGTCTTACATGTTTTTGTAAAAAAGTAATACTTGAGATGTAATACCATTTATATTTCAATTGCCTTCAGAAATATAGTCTCTTTTTAATGTTTTCTGTTTCTATATTTTGTCTTATTCACATGTCTTCCAAGAGTTCAGAGACTTTAATATAAACCTTGAAAATTTTCACTTTAGTATGGCAAGAGACTGAAATGCTATGTGGAACAAACTTATTTTTTTCAATGTTTTCAAATATCAGAAATAAGCAAAAGGTGAATAGTTGAGGTTATGTGACTGAAAAGGTTTTGTATGAAGGATAACTGTTCAGATCTCTTGTGAACAACAATTCTTCAAGTATATATTTGTGATTTGAGAAAATACTGCCATTATTACTAGCTAGAAATATAGCACTGACACTTGTGAAAATATTTAGTTGACTTTTTACATTATAAGTTATAGTAGACTCTTACACTATGAACTATATGTTTTACTTGTGCTTAATGATATTTACATAAGTTTAAATGACAAAAAATAATTTATAATATCTTAATGTTAGTTATCTTCCTTATTTAAGACTTATTTGCTCCTAAATTATTACTTCTAATATACATTCAAAGAACATTTGACCATTTAAAAGTAAATTAATAACTTTTGAGAAATTCTTGCTATCGGGTGCGTGTGCTCACCAGAGAGAGAGAAAGACAGAGAGACTGACAGTGAGAAATCAGCCCCCTAGGGGGAATGGTCATGCTCCAATCCCTTCTCCTCCATTCTCCTCTTGAGATTTTTGGACACACATGCACTTGTGGCAAGTGTGAGTTTTAAACTACCAGATCTGCGACTCAAATCATGGTTGACTATGTAAGAGTTCAACGACGTAATCATTACACCATCTGCTGATCCCAATAATTTATTAGTGTATCTCAATATATTAAAAATGAGGTCCTGGGGCAATCATTAATGTGGTGATCAAGGTGGCTAGATCCTACATGGCCAACTACGTGGCTTGAGTCAAGGACCTTGTGACTTGAAAATTGTGCTGTGCCCATGTGCATGTGCATGTGTGCCCAAAAAATTCTGAGAAGAAAATGGAGGAGAAAGAACTACACCATGGCCATCCCTGCAGGAGGTATTTTGTCACTTTCTCTCTCTCTCTCTCTCTTTTTCTCTGTCTCTCTCCAGTGAGTATATTTACCCTATAGCAACTTTAAGAAAATAATTAAGTCCTAGTTACTGATTAAATCTATCACTACTATTTAAATTTTGAGTTACTGTTTCATAATGCTTAAAATAATACTCTGCCACCTATGTTTTAAATTCTAAATATTAAAATTTACATTAGAATTTATTCTATATATGTTTAATTATACAATTAATTCCTCTGACAAATATGTATAACTTTTGAGGGAATTATTAAATGAATTTGAATCTCCATTTGTTCTGCCATATATATTTTTTCTTGTCTTAAGGATGAAGTAGGATATCAAACAAATAATTAAAAACAAAGCACAATTCATGTTATTCTCATAACGTAGTTGAAGGCCACAGAGATCTACTAATGATCACAAGAGTTTCTATTAATAGATATTGTTTATTGCTTTCTTTTAAATCAATAATTGGACCTATTAGAGAAATCACAATAAAATGTGCATATTAATACTGAGTAGAAGAAAACTCAGAAGAAAGAAATGATTGTGGTAACACACAGGGCACTGTTAAGAGAAGTAGACACATAGCCAAAGCAAGTTTTAGATTATAGATAATCTTCAGAGAACATGATGTGAGGTTGGAATACAATTGCCTGCTAAATCATTCCACGTGTATTTCACAGCTACACTCCAATTCTGACAAAGGCGATGGGTCTGTCAAGTACATCCTCACTGGAGAAGGTGCCGGGACTATATTTATCATCGATGATACCACGGGTGACATCCACTCAACAAAAAGCCTAGACAGAGAGCAAAAGACCCATTATGTGCTTCATGCCCAGGCTATTGACAGACGGACAAACAAACCTCTTGAACCTGAATCGGAATTTATCATCAAAGTTCAAGACATCAATGACAATGCGCCAAAATTCACAGATGGACCATACATCGTTACTGTGCCTGAAATGTCAGATATGGGTAAGAAAAATAATTTGTATAATTTAGCTATTACTATAGTTTAAATATCTAAAATTTACCTTTGGAAGACTAGTGTTTACTATTTTCTGTGGAGAAATGTGGAGAGATTCCAAATTTTTAAAATATTTTTCAATGGTATAAAGTGTTAAATAGAATTTTGCCTAGTAGAATATTTATTTTCTGAATATCTAAGTGTAGGTAATGGTTTGATGGCAAGAAGAATCATGAATTGAGAAGAAACTACAGTGCTTGCTAAATTGACATGGTTCTTAGTCATGTAAACTCTTCAGGTATGTTGTTAAGAACATACTAACATATTCACTTTGACAATTTACATAAAAGCAAGACTATATAATATTGGAAATTTTCAGCTATGTATCTTTTAAGCTTGCAGTTTATGGTCAGATAATAGTATCATTAATAGTGCAAGTAGTTGCTACATTAACCAGTACAACTTTTCAGATACTCCTAAGTATTTACATCCCTTATTTCTTTCAAAGTACATAACAGTCCTGTAAAGTATTTTGAATATCATTTTAAAGATGTAAAAACTGGAGGGACCAGCAGTTAGCATAATGATTATGTTGTTGGACTCCCATGTAGTCAACTGCAGTTCGCATCCTGGACCCAGTGGCTTAAAACTCACGCTGGGCACGTGTGCGTGTGTGCACAAGATCCCGAGAGGAGAATGGAGGAAAAGGGATTGTGGCGTGGCCATCCCCCCTGGGGGGTGATTTCTCGCTTTCTGTCTCTCTGTCTCTCTCTGTCTGTCTGGTGAGTGCATGCGCCCTATAGCAAAAACCTCTCAAAAAAAATAAAAATAAAAAACAAGATGTTAAAACTGGCACAGATTAGGGAACCAGCAGTTAGTGTAATGGCTATGTCGCTGGGCTCCCACGTAGTCGACCGCGGTTCGTGTCCCAGACCCGGTGGCTTAAAACTCACGCCGGGCGCGTGTGCGTGTGTGCCCAAGATCCCGAGAGGAGAATGGAAGAGAAGGGATTGCGGCGTGACCATCCCCCCGGGAGGTGATTTCTCGCTTTCTGTCTCTATGTCTCTCTGTGTCTGTCTGGCGAGCGCACGCGCCCTACAGTGAAAATCTCTCCAAAAAAAAAAAAATAATTAAAAAAAAAAAAAAACTGGCACAGATTATTAAGTAATTTCCTCAAGTTCACATATTTAGAAAATATCTTAAGAAAATTAACTCCAAATTCACTCCAGTGTAATGCAAAGTTTTTTCTGCAGTTTATACATCAAGGTCTTGAATTGCTATGATGATCTGGGCCTTTTCCAACTACCTGCAGATTTCTGTGATCAAGCTATTTTATTTTAAATTTATCTCTATAATAATTTTTACAATGTACTTAAAATGAAGTTTACCTATGATAATACTTTTTTGAGTATCTTTGTGAGACTCTAAGTTTCAACCTAGAATAGTTTTTTTTTTTTTTTTGAAGAGGTTTTTGCTATAGGGCGCATGATGCACTCGCCAGACAGACAGAGAGAGAAAGAGAGATAGTAAGTGAGAAATCCCCCCCCCCCCCAGGAGGATGACCACGCAGCAATCCCTTCTCCTCCATTCTCCTCTTGGGATCTTGGGCACGCACGCACACGTGCCCAGTGTGAGTTTAAGCCACCAGGTCCGGGACTCAAACCACGGTTGACTGCATGGGAGTCCAGCGACATAGCCATTATGCTAACTGCTGGTCCCTAATCTAGAATAGTTTTTGAGTAAATACTTTAGATATTTAAATTTACTGCATATATGAAGGGGGTCTTCAAAAATCTTATGAAAAATTATTATTATGAAAAAATTATGTGGCTTGTCAAAGTGGTATACCAGAATAAACTGATGCTTTAATTTTATTTGCTATACTTTTTTTAGAAGTTGCTTTTATCATGCGTATTATTTTACATCAAGCTTATTACAGTCACTAATTAGATCACTCTAATTTTGAGTAATATATTTAAGGATCTTTAATGGAATATATAGTTGTTTCTTTCCTTCACAACTCTAGAGCACCAGCCCATTTTAATTATAGGGTTAAGCAGACAGCTCCTGCAGCTGTTGGGGGAGCAGGTAAGAAAGAGAAACTTGGGGTCAGCACATGGCATGGTAATTAAGGTGCTGGACTTCAACATGGCCGATCATGGTTCGAGTCCCAGAGCTGGCGACTTGAAAATCATGCTTGGCATATGTGTGTGCATGCCAAAAATGTCAGTAAGAAAATGGAGGAGAAGGGACCGTGGCATGGCTATACGCCACCCCACCACCACCACCAACAACAACCTGGGGAAAGATTTCTCACTTTTCCTCTCACTGTCTCTCTCAGTCAAGTGCACATGTCCTATGGAAAAAAATTAAAAAACAAAATAATAAAATAAAATGAGCCCTAAAAAAAGGAAGGAAAGAAAGGGAAACTAATGTCTTCTTTTAGCAGAGTCTTAGGGGAGAAGGTAGTTGACAAGCTGGCTCTCTGTGGACTGTAACAGAATGAGGGATGCAGGAAGCCTGGGAAGAGTCTTAGAGACCAGGCTTACTGGTCTCCAGGGAGAGTTGAGAGGGAACTGAAGGGCCCAGCACTGTGTACCCTGGTGGGAGAGTCTGTGAGGAAATCTAAGAATAGAAGTCGCTGTGTCATGTCTAGGGACTGATGACCCAATCTCCTTCTTACAAAGGCAAAGAGCTCTGTGGTACCACCCCTTGGGATAATGCCACTGGCCTGTTACTTCCAGGAACTAGCTAGGACCCCCAAGAGGCACAAAAGAAGCAAACCAAACCACAGTGTTCAGAGCACAAGAGGGAGAGAAAGAGGCAAAAGTCAGAAGCAGAGAAAGTGTCTTGGAACAGTAGACAATAAGAGCACTAGAGATGTTTGAAAGATGGCACAAGAGATTTCTATAACTCCAAGGTATGTGCTTTTTTTAGCAATTATTACAAATTTAATATATCAATGTATGGATTGAAGTCATGATTGGCCAAATTATTGTCCTGGTACTTGAGAACATAACAGACTGAAAAAAGTAATTAATAATCATAGAGGAAACATATAAAAATATGAAACATTGAGAAAAAGGATAGACTTAGAGGACATGTTTATTAGACCTACCACTTGAATAATGTACATTCACAGAGAGCAAAACAGAGAAAATGGAGGCAAAGAAAAAAATTTTTTTTTCACTTGAAGAGTACACTGAATTTAGAAGTTCAGTAGACTCTCTGAGTTCTGGAAAGTGTTGATAGAATAAGAGTCAAATGTAGGTAAATCCAGGCAAAGTTTCTATAGCATAATAATGAGAACATTCTATTAAGAAAAACATTCACCCTGTATTTACTATACAAAATACTAGAATCAAACAAATATTTTTTTTTTAGAAAGATATTTTCTATAGGGTGCATGAGCTCACTAGAGAGACAGAGAGATAGAAAGCAAGAAATCACCCCGCCAATGGGATGGCCACACCACAATCCCTTCTCCTCCAGTCTTCTCTTAGGCTTTTGGGAATGCACACACAGGTGACTAACCTGAATCTCAAGCTTCTGGGTCTAAGACTCGAACCATGGTCGTCTCTGTGGGAGTTAAGATGTAACCATTACACAATCTGCTGGGCCCTTCAAATAGACTATTTATTCTGATTTATAACATGCAGAAAAAACTAAAATCCTAAATCCTTTGTTCAGTCAAAAATGATCCATCATTGAGGGTGAAATAAATATTTGGAGAAGGATCCAGAAAGTATATCATCCTCCTGCTAATCAAGAAAAAGTATTTAAGAAAATAATTAAAATAAAAAAATGGTTTACATGAATTAGAACAAAGATTTAAAAGTCAGGAAAAATGACAAGGAGAGAAAATAAACAAGGAACCCTTAACCAAGTGTGTGTGTGTTGTGTGTGTGCTTGCATGCACACGTTTGCACATGTTAGCCTGGGAAATGATACTATCCAATGTAAGTAAGATTCAGAATGTACAAAGGAATTATTGCTGCGAAGGCTATGGGTTTAAGACTTGGGAAAAATATCAAAACATCTCAAAGCCCTCATCTAGTACTTAGGGAGAAGGATAGGAATGGGAAATAGCTAATATTCTTAAATTCTCTTACTGAGATAAGTAAGGTTGAAGGACTATATGTTAATATGTGAAGACATTAGGAAAAAGGACAGGACAGAGCAAATTTTACATCTTTTAACTATTGTTGTTTTAGGCAAGATTCTATCGAAAGAGTCAAATCATAGGGTAAACTAGAAATTATGTTTAATTTGCTTATGTGTGCACATGCACACACATACATGTGTATAAACTCATTATTACAGAAAAAAATACACAAAAATCATTGTGACAGCATATAATGCACATTGTAATGTGATTATCTAGAAGATGATATAAAAGTTAGTGGAGGGGAAAACAATTTACTCTGTGTGCTTAAGAATAGGTGATGTTGGCATTAACTCTTTCAGAAATGAAAAGCTCATAGTATTAGAGACAGGGGTCAGCCAGCAATGGCAGAGGAGAGAAATCTAGCCTGCTCTCTTATTTTTGTATATGATGTTTTACTGGAACACAGACACATTCATTATTAAGGTAGTCTCTGAAAGAGTTGGATAGTCAGGATGGAAATGCAAATTATCTACATTGCCTTTTATAGAAAGAGTTTGCTAGTCTCCATTGTAAGAGATTGCAGGGCTGAGAACCAAGGCAGGGGAACACAATAGTCTAATAGCCAAGGTATTTGCTAAACTAGGGCAGTTAGTGTCTTACCAGCCCTACTGGACTATACAGCGTCATACAAAATATTGCATTGGTTACAGATTCATAGGCTCATGCTTCTTCACTTAAGGTAAGCTTCATTAGTTATCCAGTCAATATTCAGTTTTCCCATTTGTGTTGCTAAAAGAACTCAGTTCATTTTCCAGGTTGACACTATGTAAAGTTCACTGTTCATCACCCACACTTTCTTTTATCAAGTGGCATCTGTGATACCTAGTTTTATTTGCCAAG